GGAGAATTGTTGGGTAATGTGGAGACCCGGTCCACCGAATTTAATTAGCTTCTTAATTAAGTATGTCACCTACCGCTCACCTACCACACTCACCTATCGCTCACCTACCTCTCACCTACCGCTCTCATGGTTTCTACAAACAGTCTCTTTTAGTTTAAAGGAAATGTAAGCCATCCAACCAGTAGGTGATGCAGTCAATGTCCCGGTCACCAAGTGGGAGAATTGTTGGGTAATGTGGAGACCCGGTCCACCGAATTTAATTAGCTTCTTAATTAAGTATGTCACCTACCGCTCACCTACCACACTCACCTACCGCTCACCTACCACATCCCACCTACCGCTCACCTACCTCCCACCTATCACTCTCATGGTTTATATAAATAGTCTATTTAGGAAATGTAAGCCATGCAAGCCAAGCAAGGCCAAGCCATGTCATCTTGAGAGCTAAGAGAAATAGGGGAAGAGAGAAAGAGAGGAGGAGAGAGAGAATAAAATAGATATTTTTTTGTAAACGTCGAGGCGCTTGACGGTGTAATTTCTCAAAGAAATAAATTCTTTACAGCTTCGTGGACGTAGACAAATTTACCGAACCACATAAATCTGTGTGTCGCTCTGGTGTTTTTCTGCGTGCAATTTTTCTCATTCCATTTTTCATTTTATTGTCGTCGTTTTTCATAACAGTTACCCATTATTTGGATCACTGCCTTCACGACATGCCTATCATTTCAGGTCACTGCCTCCACAATATACCCATCTTTTGGGCTATTACCTTCACGACAAGCCCAACCTTCCGGGTCACTGACTATACGACATACCCATCTTTTGAGTTATTGCCTTCACGACATGTCTGCTCTTTTAGGTCACTATCTTTATAACATACCTAACTTTTGGGTTGTTGTTTTTACGACATGCCCATTGTTGACCTCACTTTTGGTTGAGGTCTAGAAACTTCTTTTCTTTTGGGGCACTACTCTTATGACATGCCCACCCTCTCGGGTCACTGACCACCACTTTATATATGCTTAAAAGTATAAGTATTTAATACTG